CCCCTGCAACCCCGCTCCGGGCCAACCCCGCCCCCGCACCAATGGTGGGTGAAAATCATTATTTTGATTTTTGGCCAGGGGGGGCAGGCTGTCACTATGCACCCCCCTGTATTTTTTGTTTTTTTTCTTAAATTAAAATTTTTGATTTTTTTTTTTTTTTTTGGCCCCTCCCAGGCCGGGGTCAAGGGACCACCGCACCGGACCGCCGGCCCCGGGGCTCTGACAACCCCGGGTGTACCCGGGTGTGCAAAAAAAGCAAAAAAAAAAAAACGTTCTTTCTCTTTTTTGGTTTTCTGCACTCTCCTAGAGGACCCCAAATCCGGACTCGTTTCTTTTTTTGCGAGTTGGCTGTCAAGGGTCGGGAAAGGGGGTTTTAAATCATTTTGTAAAATTCCYGTAGTTGCCGCAAAAAAGGATGTCATAGCTCCCACAAAAGTAATCACAATTAAAGCCTTGGGTGCGTATTCAAATAAGGGAGAACACCTTGCCATCATGAAAACCCCTGCTGTTACCATAGTAGCTGCATGAATCAGATCTGATAGGGGTATAAATTGGTTTTAAAGGAGCTAAACTTCTGCTAAAGGGGTTTAAAGGGGGGTGCCTCTTTTTGGTTTTGGTTTTCTGCACCCTCCTAGAGGAACCCAAATCCGGACTCATTTCGTTTTTTGCAAGTTGGCTGTCAAAGGGGGGGGGGAGGGGTATAAATTGGTTTCAAAGGAGCTAAGCTTCCGCTAAAGGGGTTTAAGGGGGTGCCTTAGTGCAATTCTGTTATTTTCTTTTTTATCTCCGATTCTGTGGGGAGTTTTGAAGTGACCCTCAGCCAACCTGCAGGTCGGGAGCAACCCACGCATGTTCTCTTGTGAACACGGTTCTGGCTGCTACGGGGTTCACCGTATGCCTACAATTAGTAGTGGTAGGTAGGTAGTGTGAGGTGAAATTGAGAGAAGAACATAGAGTAAAAAAAAAAAAAAAAAAAAAAAAAAAAAAAAAAAAAAAGTGGCTTGTAGCAAAAAAAAAAAAAAAAAAAAAAAAAAAATTTTCCGGATTTTTTTTTTTTTTTTTTTTGCGCAAGGGCTGCCCAGAACCCTGCCCGGGGGTCATGCCCGGCCGGGCACCCGGGCATGTACCCGGGTACAAGTTTCTGTTAACCGCTTATGTTCATTTGGTGAATGGCTATTAAAAAATACGTTGAATTGGTACTGGTCAGATTGGGTAATTTGTCGCTGGTGATTGACCCTAATTTGGGGTTTGGGGTTTGCTGGTCTGGGTTGGGTGGACATCTGCTTAGTTAGGGTGTTGGAATTGACGGGCAAGAGTCTAATTGGGATAGTAGATTAAAGGATAGGCCGGGAATTGGATCTTTGCTTCACTTTCTGGCCAAATTGGGGTCTAGGCTGGGCAGGTATCTAATTAGCTAGGGCTTGTTATGCTGGCCATCGAAATCAGGATAGTAAATTAGAGGATAAATGAGGAAACTAAATTAGAGGATAGGTGGGGATTCGGGCTCAGGCCTGTTTGCTATGTATCCCCCACGGCCGCGCCCCTGTGGCTTGGGCGGCATACAGCTTGCAGGCGTGGGAGAAACAAGGAGAGAGAGCGGGGGGGGGGGCGAAGGGGGGCTGGGGGGCACGGGGAGGGCATGGGGCCGAGGACGGAGCGGGGGGGGGTAGGGGGCGGGGGCGGGGGGGAGTTGGGGGAGGGGGCGGGGGGTCATCATGGGGAGGCATGTGGTGGTGAGGTGAGGGCGGTGGGGTCCTAGACCAGGATGAAATTGCTTGGTTGGAAGGGGATGACGAAGTGGTGACGTGGTAGACGTTGCCATTGATTTTCTCTATTCAGACAGGGCTTCCACCTTCACTGATTGTGTTGGTCCGGTTCGCGGAGTCTCTCTGCATTGTCCACCCACACTGCGCAGGAGTTCGCTGTGAGGTCATTGCATTTGATCTCTTCTGATTCTTTTGCCAGCATTTGTTTGAGCTCCTTCCATGCTGGATGTGTGTTCGTCGCGATCACCTCTACAACCGTAGCTCTCGCCTCCATGTATCCAAATGTGTGCTGTTTGTATTCATGGGAGCACCTCATCCTCCATGCCGCCATTAGCATCGGCAAGCGAGTGATTTTAATCAGGTTAGTCATGAATGGTGACCACGTGGCAGCTTGTGACCGCATCTCTCCCAGGAGGATAGTCTTGAGGTCCCATGGCAGGCGGGTGCCTGTCAGGTAGTTCCACGCTGCATCCCGCCATCCCCACAGCTGGGCCACCATGGGGCAGTCCAAAAGGCAATGTTCCAGTGTGGCCCGATATTTGGGGGAGCTCTTTCCGCAGGAGGAGCACAGAGGAGAAAGCACCCCCCACTCTTCAAGGGTTGTCCTTGATGTGATCCACTCCGAGTTGGCAGGCATCGGTGGACGATTTGCCATTGGAGGGCTCTGTGGTTGGTTGGTCGTATGTGCGAATGTGCTCCAGTTTAGTTTGAGAAGATCTTCTGTATTCAGGGGTGCATCTCTGGCCCATCGCGCTTTGATCGGGCCAGAGATTCAGGGGTGAATCTCTGGCCCATTGCGGTTTGATCGGGTCCAGGATAAATGGCAGTATTTTCTTTCTGGCCAACCTGTAGCCATTGTTTACAGTGTACTGCCATAAGTGGAGTTTTCAATCTCCACCCATGTCCCACTCCCATTGCCGCGGGTCACAGGGCACCTGACTAAGCAGCATGGCCAGCTCATAGATGCACCAACCTTTGTCCTGTTCATTCACTACGCATACCCTCGTCAGGCCATCGGGCGGACTGTCATGATCCAGCTCCTCAGGGCTGTCGCGCTTTGATTGGGTCCAGGATGCGTATTTTCTTTCTGGCCAACCTGTAGCCATTTTTTACCGTGTACTGCCATATGTGGAGTTTTCTTTCTCCACCCGTGTCCCACTCCCACTCCCGCAGGTCAAAGGGACGCTGGCTAAGCAGCATGGCCGTCTCGCAAGCGTACCAACCTTCGTCCTGTTCATTCACTACGCATACCCTCATCAGGCCATCGGAGGGTCTGTCATGGTCCAGCTCCTCATCCCTGAGGGGCTCTCATCTGCATATATTTGCCACTACAACAAAGATCTGCACTGGAACCGGCTTCACCTAGCCTTATGCTCCAGGCTTGGCAGCAGGCCCCAGGCCCTTCTACTAGTTGACTTCATATGGGGGGGAGGGGGGAGAGGAAAAGAAATAATTGAAAAGAGACTTGACTAGCACATTAGCGAAACACATAAGCTATAACTAGAATTTGAAGACCTTTAAGCTGAACAAAAAAAAAAAAAAAAAAAAAAAAAAAACTGACAGCCTTAACCAACCGCTCCATTTCCCCCTCTCCAAGGAAACACACAAGCCCACAAAACTCAGGACACCTTTCAAACGTGTTTATGTAAGGGACGCTGGACCCGGTTTCCAGCAGGTGCTGCTCCCCACCAATAGATGGAGCCCTCCCCAGGTGCTAGCGGTGTCTGCTCTTTACCAGCACCACTAGCACCGACGGGTGCGTTGATAAAAAAATAATAATAATAAATAAATAAAAAAAAGGACACATTTCAAACGAAGTAGACAAGCTGAAAGAAAAACGGGTCCAGATAATATCTCCAACCCAGGATCCGTCCGGAGAATAAAGAGTTCATTCAATTCAAATCAATAATCCTAAACTGCTTTAAGCTGGAGAAATGGTCAAATTTTCCAGTGGTGTTAAAGGAATGGCACTGAATCTAGAAAATGAGAGTGTAGGAATTGTGGTTTTTGGTAGTGATACTGCCATTAAAGAAGGAGATATTGTCAAACGTACTGGATCTATTGTAGATGTTCCTGTAGGAAGATTTATGTTGGGTCGTGTTGTTGATGCGTTAGGAGTACCTATTGATGGAAAAGGTGCTTTAGGCGCTGCAGAGCGAAGACGTGTAGAAGTCAAAGCTCCATTCAAAGATCGCTGACCGACTTGATTACCGTTGCATGTCACCACTCAATGCGCCGCTGATGTTAAGCACCTATGGCATGTGAAGATTTCCAGACTTCCGGAATGCCGAGCAAAGGAGTGGCCCATTTCTTCCATCAGATGCAAGGCTACGTGCATGCACCGACAATTCCAATGCTGACTGGGTACGTGCATGCTGACGCGAGATGTGATTCAACATCTAGTATGTCCCACGCAGCACAGTCGATCACGGCCACTTGTTAAACACTGGGAGAGGAGCATCCGCCTCCCGCCACACGTCACTGCTCTTGATTTCCTCCTATAGAAGAGACTCTAGCTCCTGCATTTCCGCAAACACAGCAACACATTCGTAGGTTAGCAAGGAGAACAAGGAACAACGTCCTCATGCGGGGGAAAGTGGAAAACAGGTTGATGGTTCTTCAGGCCATCCGTAAAAATTGGGAGTGATATAGAGACGATTAGCACAGGAGCCCTGCACAAGAATGGCATCCACAAATAGCAAGGATTTAAAAAAGGAAAAAGCCGAAAAAGGGCACACTAAACTGCACCCAGGTCTTCATCAGAAAATCTAACAGTACCAAGGTCCCTGTCTGAAAATCCAACCCACTGCTGATCCCTCTTGCCCTCCTCGCCTACCTTCGCCTTCCAGTTGTTGCAAATTTCACCACACTTCACCTCAAGACAGCTGAAGTGCAGACATGATTCTTCCCTTCCTCCCTCCCTTCCCCCCCCTC